AGAATCAGAATACTGCCTTCCTCATAAAGCTTGGTTAGGTCTTTGCCATAAATGTGATGAGTTTTGGGTCAAGGTCATCAGAAACAAATACCATTATGGTGATGACTTGCTTCCTAAGATTGATATTAAGTATTCGGGCTTTAATGTGTAGGCTAGAATCAAGGCAACCTAGGAAAAAGTAGAAATAGGTATTGAATAGATAAATGGAGGAACAATCGTTAGATGGTATGGGGAGAAGAATAGGTTATTCTTAATAAAATCTACATATAATATGATTACCTCTGATAAATGACATATTGGATAGGAGAAAATCTAGAAGGTTAAAGCCCCATTATGATATCAAAATTTTTTGTGGTTGGCTTATCATGACAAGTTACTTACTAATCATGCTAGATTACAACATGGCCTCAGTAATGACGAGAGATTCCTATATGCAATAAAAAAACAAAAAATGAGCTTTATTTCCTTTGTGACTATAGTCATATACAACTCTCGTGGAGAAGACTTATCCCTTGATATGCGTAGACTCATTTCTTTTCTGATAACTTGAAGGGCTGGATTATTAGTAATATCTTAGAGAGGACTAGTAACTCGAAGACAAACTAGGGAGTGATGTTTAGTGTTTACGATCATATATTGGGGTCTTTAGTAGAGACATAATAGATTCACATTTGACCATAAGCTAACTTGCTTAAATGATATTATGATACGTGCTAAAGCCATATCTACTGCTGCTAATGAAGCCCATAGTAGTTTGAATAGGTATACCTTTACCACCGTCAGAGTTAGGAATAGATTAGAAGGGTGGAGACCACCGGCTATGGGGTGGGTGAAAGTTAACGTAGATGGTACTTATGCCTTCTCAACTAATGCTCTAGCTTATGGTGGACAAATATGTGAGGCCTAAGGTAAATTTTTACACGGCTACATTTTTAGACTGAATGGAGATGACTAATTGACAATGAAAATATAGGCATGCTTGCTTGGGCTCAAACTGGTGTGGGATTGTGGTAGTTGAAAAGTTTAACTTGAGATTGATTCTACCAATGCGTTAGTTGTATTGCAACATAAGTTGAACCCAGAACACCATGACTATGATTTGGTTATGGAGACTCATTAGGTTATTAATAGAGAGTGGGAGGCGAAGATTCAATTTACTGGGAGAGCTCATAACAAAATGGCATATTTTCTTATTAAGCAAGGGCTTGAGTCTTCGCCTGGTTTGCATAGGATTATTCAACCGCCTGATGATCTTCATAGGCTGCTTATTTCAGGTTAGCTTGATTAGGTCACTAAGGAGTTTGGTTAGGTAGCACTATTTTTCTACCTCTTTGTTTTTCTTTGTTATAAAAAAAATACTCTCTTTGATCTAAACTATAATCATTTTTTAAAGCTAATTTTGATATAAAATATAAGAAACTTAGTAGTTGTAGAAGTTTCTTCCCATTTTACCCATTATATTTATTTACCTAGATTGTTGTGTAAATTTATGACATTCTTATCACTAATCATTGATAATTGAAAGTAAGGATAAAAGGAAAAATAATATTTTTAATTAGAATAAATATTTTATCTGTATACAAATGATTGTTGAAAGTTGCTTATATTTTTTCTCAGGGGTATACCTTCTTAAAAAAATTATAAATAAGGTGTGTGCAATAAAAATTTGAAGAATAAATGTGTAATGTGTTTCTTGTTAATTAGGTAAATAAGGAGGTTAAAGGCACCTCAAACATGAGGTATTTGGTTCGAACATGGGGGTTGGTGGAGGCATGTGTATGATTGAAAAATGAAAGAAAGGAGCCACGAATAATCTTTTCAATGGATTTATTGACAAAAATTTCTGTCACTAAAAGAAAATATTGATGGATTTTTTCATTTAGTGACAAATTTATCCCTTACTAATATCAATTTTTCTAGTAGTAGCTGGACTACATGAGGGTATATTAAATGCCTGGTGCTTCTGTCTTTATCTCTCTCTCTCTACAATCTTCATAGTCGTCGTCTTCTTATTCCTCTATTTTTATGCATATTTCTGCAACAATCATAGTGGTTCTCTCTTACTCCTCACTGAACCGATTCTTACTCCCTAACTCATGCATGCCCAAAAACATGGAATGGACCTAATTGTGTCAAACAGAGGCATTGACATGTAAAGGGAGAGGGAGAGATTGCATGGCTTGATTATTTGAGTGGATGGAGGAGAGAGGGAAGAGGAGTGAGAGTGTCAAGCTTTATTATAAAAAATATTAGGACATTGACCAAAAACTAGAGGTGTCAATTAGGGCCAGAGCCTAAACGAGTTGGCCTTTTTAAGCTCGATTACACCTCAAGGCTCTATTTTTAGCAGCTCGGCCCTGGCCCTCAAGGCCTCAGCCCTATTTATTTTTTACTTTTTCAATTTAAAAATTTAAAAAAATGTATTTAAAATCCTAATAAAGTTATTACACATCACATTAAGTCTAAGAAAATAAAATAAAATTAATTCACACAACAAAAAATTTAAGTTTGATAAAAAAATAACATCTCAAAATCAACTCCGACATCAATTATACGTTGGTAGCATCATTAGCTAAATCTTGATGATTTTCATCATCATCAACATCAATATAATTTGATCATTCTCCTTATAGATCCTCATCAATAGCAAATATATTAAGTTTTTCATATCTTCCTTTTTTCATCCTCATTATTTGCATAAATAATAAACTAAATTCACAATTTTAAGTTATTTAAAGAATGCAAAAATATTCAAAGTAAGCTAATAATAATGTGTGTGTCTACTGTTTGGACTAGAGAGTAAGTGTTGAGCTTGAGTAGTATGGTGTCTTCTTTTTTTATATATATTTTTATATTTTTTTTAAAATGTATCAAGGCTTAAAAGGGCTGGCCCTGACCATAAAGAGCCGACCCTTTTATTTTTAGGCTTACAAGGGTCAGCCCTTTTAAGCCCGATTTATCTTTTTAAATATCAAAGTAGCAACCTAGTCCTTAATTTTTTCGGGCTTAAAAGAACCGAGCCCTACGAGCTCAGTCCTAATTAACGGCTCTACCAAAAACAGATGTTACATCGCTTTAAAGGGGAGTAGGAGTGTTAGGCGTTATTATGATTTAATTTCAAATTGAAGATACCTGCAAATCCTAACCTATTTAAGATTATAATTTTGACTCAATATTGATCTAATTCTCCCTCCATATATTTAATTAAATTACACTTCCATTGAATTAGGTAATTGTCTTTAAATGATCATACATGTTCCACTTTATTTAATAGAGTGATCATTTAAAGGTAAATAATTGGGTGGTTTGTTTATTAAGAATATTTTAAAAAATTCTTTAACTATACATTAAAAAATTAAAATATACCTTACTTGAACATTTAAACTTAGGAAAATATTTTATATTTTTAAATGGGAGAGTAGTTCAATTTTGACATAGTACTCCGTCCATCTCAAATTATAAGATACTTTTAGACAAAATCTTACATATCAATAAACCTAATTAAATATACTTAATAGACGTATCTTTCCAAAATAAAAATATAAACTTTCAAAAATATTCATTATTTAATATATTGAAAAGAGAATGGGAAAAAATTAATTATAGAAAGAGAAAAGGTGATATTGAAATTAATACATTTAATGAAACTTTAATCTACTCAAAATATCTTATATTTTGAGATAAAAAAATTTATTTAAAAGTGTCATATAATTTAAAATGGAGGAAGTATAATTTAATTTTTATAATTTGACTTGATTGAAATTTAACTTTAAATTTTAATTTAGCATAACTCATTTCTTATGAGTAATTTTAAACATTTAAAAAGTTAGTTTAACGAGTTTTTGATTTTGATTTTATTAAATATATATATATATATATATATATATTTAAAAAATAAAATATTTTATTATTTAATAATTTTCTGAACATTTTAAAGCAAAATTAGCTTCCATTCGATTTCAAAGTGTCACTCTCATGCACGGTACGTGCAGACTGCTCGGTATGCTTCTCTTGAAGGGACAAGCGCTGCCCCACTTGTATGCGTTCTTTCCAATTGCTGAAAGGACATACAGATCTGTTGCTGATGAAAGCATGAGTGAGCCTGCCTCGTTGATTAAAGACAACTAAAAATTCCCCTGTTTTTTCTTTCAAAGTTGTAAAATTTACAAATTATAAACAATAAAATTCATTTTTTAAAAAATATTTTTCAGTATACTCTTTCAGTCTTTTATATTAACCATTTTTTAAAAACATAATTTAACTTACTTTATTAGTCATTAATTGATAATATTGTTTTATTTCAAATTAAAATCCTTAAATTCTTAAAAAGTAAGAGGAAGAGAGATAAAAAAATAATATTATATTATTTATTTATTTTTTTATTTTTTACTTGAGGGTTATATTTAAAATTTCACTTATTTTTATTTTATATATTTTTATTGTATTGATGTTAATAAAATTAATAGAAATAATTTATAAATAAGATAAGATAGAATAAAAGGAAACATGTTTATTTTTTTAAAAATATCTACTTGGTTTGATTCATCTGAAAAGTACTTGAGAGTAAAACCGAAATAAATCAAATTAAATTGATCCAGTAGAGGTTGCACAAATCTCTTTGAGCTCCAAGAATACGTTTTAATTTTTGTACTATGTTTTGAAGTAAAATTTTATTTTGTGATTGGTATTTGGCAAAAAAAGAAAGTTCTAAGATTAATATAACTAGCTCCACCGTATTCCATCTGAGATTCTGGATCTATCATTTCATCCATACAGAGAGTCTCAAGAATCTTCTTCATTTTCTGAGTTTTCCAGAAATATTAGTTAAATTTCTCTGTAAAATAAATTGCATTAGCTTCATTTAAATACTTCATTTCACAAATAACGCCAGCAAGTTCTGCGGTCATTTACGGAATAATAACACTCCTCTAGTACCGAGTTCAATTTCTGGCAGCTCTGAATTTTGTCAAATATTTATGTGCTTTCGAAAGGGAGATAATCAATGATATAATCATACAATGCAACCAAAGGTTAAGAGTATACTTTGATGATAAAAAAGAAAGCTACAATTAATCTTTTTTCCATGTACATGTAAAAATATCTGTAGTACTGCAAAAGTTTTGATGCCCCCAGATTTATTACCCTAGTTATTGAAGATATTAAGAAGGGCGACTCTGATCTTAATCAAACGCCTAAACAAAAACTCAAGCCCTTCTTCAAGATCTTCTATTTGAGACTCGAGCTTTTCCAACTGTGTTTGCAGATTTCTAGTGTTTTCTGACACTGACTTGCTAAGTACAAAAAATTGTAGTGCTGCGTCTGCTTGTGCAAATTCATTCTCTTCATCTGCTACCGTTTTTGTATTGTGGATGATCTTCGATACCAAAGACCATCTGCTTGATTTTGCTTGTGCTGATCCAGAGATAAAGCTCAGCAGCGACTTGAAAACAGAAAGAGTGACCACTTCCACTTCTTCCAACAAGTTAATCAAGGCCACGTTTGTGGAATAAAAGCTGCTTTTTCTACTTGAACCCTTCATGTTTCCTAAGGCTTTCATGATGGCCTTTCTCACCACCTTCCTTGAAGTCAAGAACTTCTTAGCTTCCTCCAAATCGCCTCCTTTTTTCCTCCTTATAATCAACTGTAGCTCGCGGTTGCACTCTTTTGTGTGAAGCAACGAATCTTTGGCACTTGTACATGTGTCTATGAGCCTTAGTGATCCATCCAAAAGCTCATCTAATAAATTATCTTCACACTCTTGGAGGAGGGCTTTTTGGATAAGGGGAAGTTGAATCAATTTTTCAACACAATCATGTAAATGTCTTAGGCCATCTAGGTTATGGACAAGCAATGATGAAGAACAGGTTTCACAAGAGGCCCTTAATCGGTCTAGGTGTTCATTGCATTGTAAAACAAGAGGGTGTGATCTAGAGGGCAAGCTGTTTGAACGAGCATGGAAAGAAGATGCCATTTGTTCCTCCAGAGAAGGGAAAGGGAAAGAGCTAATGGTTGAATGATGGGAAATTGAGTCTATGAATGTGCCTGTCCAACTAGGAGTTGCTCAATATATACTATGGGTATAAGGGACAAATGGAATCTTTTCTTATCAAATCTCAATTAATTGCAAGTTAGTTTAAATTTTGGATCCAAGCATGAGCTCGTGCATGTCAGAACGATGCCTCCCTCGAGAAATCTTCCCAACTCACGCAAGTATTTTTTTTCTCCCTCACATGTATGATTATTTAATCTCCATAATATGAGAGTGACTAGTCTGAGCATGTGCTGGATAGCTGAAACTATGGCTGTGTTTACGTTAGCTGTTCCTCTCTTTGAAGAACAAAGACTTGTTTCTGATGCTGAACAAGTGCTGCTTCTCATGTGCTTATTGCTATTACAGAAAATTGAAACCATGGTTAAGAGCTTCAACAAGTCACAATTTTCAAGCAACTTCAAAGCATATTCCAAATTCTATACCATGAAGAGAAAGATGTATTAATAATTACAGAAGGTGATCCAATATATCACCAATTGCAAAAGTAATTCTTCTCATATGAGAGAAGGTGGTAATGGGAATTCGGGTTTCAAGAAGCAGCTGTCAGTTTGTATTCACTACTGGGTCCATGTTGTGGGTATATAAGACAAGAAATATCTCTAGCGTCTTAAGAGATCGATGCAATGAGTGAATATACAAATTAAATGTTTCATATAACATCTAAATGTGACTCAGCTTCTACAATTGAGTATTGGTCTATACTATAGGTCTTGTCAGCCAGGAAATGCTTCTCATTGGGCAACATGTGCTGCATTTCTTGTCCTCACAGTATTATTAGATCCAATGGCCCCATATTAATGACCCTATTAATTGACTAGATCTTAAATCAAAGGGCAGACATCACATTGTTCGTTGTAGCTGGCACACGCAAAATGAGAACATGTACAGACAACATTGTGATTTTAAAATTTTCAATGATCAACATAAGATAGCAAGAACCTTGACAGCTAGGCAGTAATTCAAATTGCCCATGAACTCAATAATTGATTGTAATAATTATCTTCTAATCCTCCTCAATTGTAGTTAATTTCTTCTTGTTTTTTTAGAGAAATATAACTAAAATAAAACCTGTGTTTGTAAATTTAAAATTTGAAGTAGGCTATTATGTTGAGAGGTGAATTAAAGGAAATGACAAGATTTAATTATAAGAGGGTTTTTCGTTTTAGTAGGCTGATAATGTTGTTCTATCAATGAAATGAAATTGTTCTTGTTCCACCTTCACTTTCCTTTCACTTATTTTAGAGATGAAAATATGGGGAAATTTTCAAGAGAAACTGAATGATGAAATGAGGAGAAAGCACAGTAAAATGAAGAGAGGGAGAGAGAGACACGCACACATGCAACATCAAGTAGCTATAATCTTATTTTCTATATATTCAGTAATATGATATATAATCACATCTATATACAATTATGAGAAACTCATGGACAAAAATTGAACTTCTTCTCTGCCCATGATGCTGTGATTATATTTTCTCTACCTAGTGATTGAAGAAATTCAGAAGAGAAACTCTGATTCTAATCAGGTTTCTTGATAGGCTTTCAACTCCTGCTTGTAGATCCTGAATGCAAGTCTCTAGATTTTCCAAATGTGTTTGAAAATTCTCCATAGATGAAATCTTGTGACTGACAAGAGACTGCAAAGCTACATCCACCTTTTCAAACTCATTCGTGTCTGATTCTTCAGAGTCACAAGCTACTCTTTTAGGCTGCATCAGCTTGGAGATTACTGACCATCTTCTTTGCTTTAGTTGTCCCTTTGGATCGCAAATAAAAATCAACAAAGTCTCCAATGAGCTCACACTAATTGCTTCTGCTTCTTTCAAAATGCTAAGCATAGGCAAAGTGTCCTTGTCGTTGTTTGTGGAAGAATCTTTCGAGATTCCCTTCAAATTTCTCAAGGCCTTTTTTATTTCCTGCTTCATCTTCTTCCTAGAAGCCAGGTAATTTCCAACCTCAATTGTCAATTCAGAAGTTTCAGCTCCTCTCTTCCTCCTAATAACTGACTCAAGTGCTTGAATGCTTTCCTTTAATTGTTGTAGGCAATCCTTAACTGTGCTACTGGTATCCAATAGAAAGAGAAATCCTTCTAGTAGTTTATCAATCGATTTTTCACTGAATTCTCGTGCTACTTCCTTTTGGGTGGCTGACAATTGGAGCAACTTAAGAGTGGAATCATACAAATTCTGCAAGCCATTGAGTTTATGGCTTAGAGAAGATGAAGAAGCCACTTCAGAAGGCTTCAGCCTGTTTAAATGCTCCTCAAACTGTGATACAAGGGGGTGAGATGTAGAGGGCAAGCTGTTGCTGCGAATGTGCATGGAGTTCTTTGTGTTGGTTTCTATGGCTGCCATTTTCTCTTATCAGAAAACAGAAAGCTCGGAGATGAGTTCCACTGGTGGCCTCCTTCTGCATATATAGCTTGAAAAATGAGGGTGACGAGAAGAATATTTTACTTTCGAAATGTCACAAAGTAATCAGGCAATAATAGAATCTTGAAGCTGCCACAGCTTTGTTGGCGCCTTGCTTCCCCACTTAACAAGCTTCCTAGCTCATCCCTCATTTAAAAAATAAATAAATAAATAAATAGGGAATCCGGAATCACATGAACTCATCTGCCACATATGGGATGCTATTGCTGTGTCTCCTCCATCTTAACAACTAGGTTTAAAATCTGAAAACAGTGAAGAACAATAAGGCATGCCACCATTAGAAGCAGCATCTTTATGGGATCTTGTCTGCAGAAGAAGAGGTCCTGTGCATTTATAAATACTATTTTAACATCTAGTCAATAAACTTGTCTGCCCTCTGGAGGATGCACTTAATTAGTGAACTGTAATTAAGGTTAACGGCAAGCAAAGTCTCTTCATCTCAGATCTTAGTGGTTGCTCTAGCTCATATCTGGATGGCAATGTTTCTGCAGTGTTTCCTATTCATTATTAATCAAAGGATGCTAACAATTTTAACTTAATGTCCCTAGCTTAGTACCTTGCTCTGTGGTGATAAATGAATTTTTATGCAGTGTGTTCCCCCAACAAATATCAATTAATAAATGTCCAAATACCAGTGGTAGCTGGTGCTTTGAATTCCAAGTCGGCTCATTAAATTATTCTAATAATTATTTGAAAATCCCTCTCCTTCTCTATTATTCTTCATTACTTTGTTTTTCTGTTCTTTGTTCCACCTTCTGAGAAACATGAAATAACACTGAAGGAATTAACATTTAACAGAGAACTATTTAGAAATGCCATGATCAAAAGAGGTTATTACATTAACTGCTCGACAAAAGAAACAACAAATTGTTACAGTAGAGGCCTTTTCTTCTTCTCATTCAACATTTGTTCTAGAAAAAAAGAAGTTTCATTTTCTGTTTTCTTTATCTTAATATAGACGCAGACATTTGAGAGGGGAGAGGAGAATGACATCGCATTATGAATTTCTGGTTTTGATTCAGATCAGCGATTAATTTCAGAAATGTTAATGCAATGTCTCTTGTACAGGAACATTACAACTCAGACTATTCTATGATTTCGTCAACCCTCGCTTAAAATCATTTCCATTTTTTATTGTAACACACCAGGGAGAGTTCCAAATCTTTTCTTGACTCAATAATTGCATGTTGGGTCTTTTTTGTGAGTTTTTTTTTTTAAAAAAAAAGATGAAATGGCAAAGAAGGGCCTCTAAAGCTCTCCTTTGCCATCCATGACTTAATATTTTTTGTCCCTCCAAATTAGGGAATCAAGGATGGAGTGGTACAGTATAATTATTTCATTTACAAAATTACCCTTAACCTTTTATTTTAATAAAAAAAATCTCATCTATTATTTTCATTCTCTAACCATCTCTTTTACCTCTTGCTATGATTGCACATGGATAGAGTCGAGCCAGGCATCATCCCAACTCAATGTGCACTTGGGGGACAAGGCTAGCTTGATTAACTTGAAAATATTTGTACAAGTATTTTTTAAAGAATATATAAAAAAATTTTCTTTAAAAAATATTATTATTATTATTATTATTTAAAATATATTCTTTATAAAACTAATATTAGAATCAAAAGTAATTTTTTAAAAGTTCAAATGAATAGCAATTGCCAATTATTTTTACATAATAATAAGTTAAAAATAAATTTTAAATTTTAAAATAGATTTAAAAAATTGTAATGATAAAAAAATGTCTAAAAGATTATAAAAATAATATAATTCATGATAATTTTCAATAAAAAATAATTCTATAAGATAAATCTTATTCACAAAAAATTTTAAAAAAACAAAAAAAAACTTGTATATGTTTGAGCAAAGCAAAGTTTGGCCCTTATCGATGCCTGGCCTCATGTGTCTAAATGTTTTAGGTAAAGCTGAGTTGATCAGGCATTCAAACATAATGCATAGCCCTACCTTTCGCTATATCTCTCTCGCTCTTTCCATCTCTCTCTATCACGCCATACCATGACTTTGTTGTGTTTTCCTTTCATATGACAAGAATGTTTGCTTAAATAGCTCTATTACTTGCTTTCTCTTTTTATTCTTAATTCTTGAGTATCTTGTTTAACCATTAATTTTAATTATTATTATTTTTTATTGGATAAATATTATAATTATTTAATGGGCATTATTATTTTCTTTAAGTTTAGTCACATGGGTAATATTGGAAGAAAAAAGCTTTAAACTGCTCCGTTCCATTCATTTTATAATAACTCACAAACAATGGTCATATAAAACCATTTCTTCCCATTATAAAACTCTCAAACAATAGAAAATTTTATTCTATTCCACTCCACTCCACTCCATTTTATTCCGTTCCATTAATGATGGTTTCTTTTCATTCAATCATAAACTCCAAAACGCACTCTTAGGGTAATAAAAAATGCCTCTTTTAGGGCTTGTTTGAGAGCTTATTTGACTTTTTTGCTTCCGCTAACTTTTATAACTTGTTTTAATTATGATTTGAGCTCAAACGTCTTTTTAAAACGAGTTTTTCTTGATATCTCAATATTTAAGCTATTTATTTTCTAACCTTTGGGCTTTGATAACTTTCTATAGGATTTAATTAATCCTAATTATCACAATAGTGTTGCTAGAATATTGTTCTGATAATGTCAAGGTGGACATTACAGTTTACTACAAGTTAATAACAAAATAATTTTTATGCAGTGTGTTCACAAAACAAATATCAAAGGTTGGATGTTTGACTAAATGCTATAGGAAGCGATTCCATGTTGTGTTACAAAGTAATGATTGATCTATTTTTATGTTTTATTACTTAGTATTAATCTTATCTGTCATTATTTTTTTTATTGGATAGCATTTTAACTGTGTGTTTCATTTGGGATAAATTTGAAGACATGACATCATTGATGTGAATTACAGAGCACAAGGAAGTCTGCAACACATTATGTTATGTTTCAGGGGACACTACTAGAGATAATGCTTGTAAATTACAATACCACGGGACAAGGATGCAACATTGAGATCAAAATTAAATACTTTGAAATCAATGAAGAAAGCATCTATAGCTGCATATGGGGGGACTAAAATCCATGGCATTTACAAAAATTGGATGCCTCTGGCATGTTGAACTAATGATTAAGGATGTTAAGAAGGGAAACTCTGATTTTGATTAAACGCCTGAACAGAAAATCAAGTCCTTCTTCAAGCTCATGGATTCTAGACTCCAATTTTTCCAAATGGTTCCGCAGATCATTGACTTTTTGAGATCTTCTTTCCGTGAGGATCATGGATTGTAATTCAGCATCAAGCTTTGCGAATTCATTATCATTTTCTGCTTCAAGTATGCAAGAAGTTATCCTTTTTCTATGTATTAGCTTTGAAACAAACTTCCAGCTTCCTTGTTTTGATTGTGTTGATCCTGAAATAAGCCTCAAAAGTGATTCAAATACAGAAAGAGTGATCATTTCACCACCTTTTAACAAGTTAATCAATGCCATATTTTCAGAGTCTTTGTTGGTGAGGGAGGAATTGCATTTATTTTCACCTCCCTTCAAATTCACCAAGGCCTTCAAGATGGCCTTCTTTCCCACCTTTCTAGAGGTCAAGAATCTTCTTGCCTCTACTAGAAGCTCCATTTCGCCTCCTCTTCTTCGTTTTCTTACAGTCGAATGAAGTTCCCGGATGCACTCTTTTGTGTGATGCAGTGCTTCTTTGGCAGATGTACATGCATCTAGGATCCCTAAAGATCCATCCAAGAGCTCATCCATCCATTTTTCTCGAGGTTCCTTTCCAAGTGCTTCTTGAGTTGCACCAAGTTGAACTAAGTTTTCAATGCAACCATGCAAATCAAGTAGGGTACTTAGCTTGAAGCTGAGTGATGAAGAAGATGTGGAAAGAGATGATCCTAATGTGGCCAAGTGTTCTTTGCATTGTAGAATGAGAGGGTGTGGTTTTGAGGGCAAACTGTTAGAACGAGCATGATTATGGAGTTTTTGGTTCAAATGAGAGGCTTCCATTTTTCCTCAAGAGAAAGAAAAAATGATAAAATTGAATCACTGATTCGCTTTTTCATCTTTTATATACTAAGGGAATAGGATAGAACAGGCCAAATATCTAATTTTAATAAGTACCATCAGGAACCAACTTATCTATATTGAACCAGAAGTGATCAAAGATATGTTAGTGCTATGTCTCCCCAAGATCATCTTTACAACTCATACTTAAATTTTTTGTATAGTAATCCTTTCTTTTCTGACTCTTCTATAATCATATTTGGCCTATATTTTCTTTCTTGTGCATTGTATCTTTCAAATACATCCTCACAAGGGACAAGGGCATAGCTTTGAAACTTCGTGCTGATACATTTCTATCTTGTCTTCTGCATAGATTGGAAGTGATGGATTTTGTGATCTAGATAGGCTTCGTTATTCCATGATTTGTCCAAAATCATTATATATCTGTGGAAAGGTACTGAAATATTATTGCCAGCAAAAGTTTTGTTTGGAATCTAAATAATACTTTTTGTCTGCAGTGTGCTATTGACCTTACGGTGCTGTCTTTTCTAATGAAGGAAGATATTGTAAAGAAGCGGTACATGGATTTTCTTGTCCTCAGAACAGGAACATTCATTGTATTTTGATCTTGAAATTTTAGTCCATGACTTATTATTGAGGGAAATAATTAAATATGTTTTGACAATTGCTCAATTACAAAATCTAAGGCTATGCTTCGATATTGATTGATTCAAATCACCACATTAGTTCAATATTATTTATTTTGCTAGAAAAAACGAGAGATAGATGCTACTACTAGTATTTGAATTTCTGATCACATGTATCCAATAACGAAATGATGAAGTTACATGGAAATCAAATCCGACAACAAAAGAATATAATCACATTCATTTCAGAAATGAACTCAATGGTTGAAGATGTTGAGAAGAGAGACTCTAATTCTGATCAATCCCCTTTGAAGATTATCAATTCCTTCCTCCAGATCCCGCAAAGCCAATTCCAAATTTTCCAAATGACTTTGAAAACTCTCAATAGAAACAACACTGCAATGCTTGTGACGCAGAAGAGACTCGAGTGTTGTATCCAAGTTTTCAAATTCACTCGTGTTTGCTCTTTCATAGTCACAAGCCACTCTTTTAGGCCACATCAACTTGAATACTATTGACCATTTACTATGCTTGGATCGTCCAACTGAGCCACAGATAAAAGATAACAAAGACTGAAGGTGGCTCAAAGTGATGAGTTCTGTCTCTTTTAAGATTCTGATCATAGGCACAGACTCATCACATTCTTCGTCTGAAGAAGTTAAAGCGATGTCCTTCTTATTTCCCTTCAAATTTTCTAAGGTCTTTCGGGTTGCCTTCTTCACCTTCGTCCTCCATGACAAGAATTTCTCCATGGGGACCACTACTTCACCACCTCTTCGCCGGCGAATACTAGATTGGAGGTCTTTTATGGTTTCCTTTGATTCTAAGAGTGCTTCTTTGGCAGCACCAGAGAAATCCAAGAGTCTTACAGATAGCAGTTCATCAACCAGTGTTTCGCGGCATCCTCGAGCTAAGGCTTGTTGAGTGTTTGGCAATTGAAGCGCCTCGTTAATGCTGTTATGCAAGTCCTGCAAGCCAATGAGATTTTGGCATACTATTGATGATGATGATGAGCTTGCTTCAGAAGACTTGAATCTCTGTAAATTCTCCTCAAGCTGCAGTGTAAAAGGGTTAGGTGCAAAGGGCTCACTCTTGGAACGACAGTGCAGAGAAATCTTGAAGTTTGTAGCCATGGCAACCATGGAAGGTACTTGTGAGATGAAGGAGCTCTTCGTTAAGTCCTTCTGGTACCATGTTCTGCATATATAAATAGGCAAAGCTTTTGAGGCAGACACAGACAAGAGGAAGATATTCCTCCTCGAGTGTCAACAAGTTGGCATTCACTATCATTCCGTATGGAATCTTTGGAATAACTCGTCACTTTCTGCTCTTTGTTTCAGTTCAGTGGCATAATTTTCACAGCTCTCTTGCGTTTTATATGCACACAGAATCTGCCGTGCCATACATGGAGCTTTCAGCCAAAAAATTCTGCGAGTGGAATGACTGATCATGAGAGCAAGTATTTTCAATAAGCTAAGTATGGTATATATGAAATATAATATTTCTAAGTCAATTAGGTTGACTCGATTCTACACCAAACCATTTATTCATGAGTCAGAAACAGCAAAACAGGTCATTAGTCTAACTTATGTACAACATGGAAGTAAAGCAGGGCGGAGGGAGGGTCACGGCGTCCTAAGTTTTTAAATTTTTAGCTTCCCAAAATTTTTGAAAATTTCATAATATATACATTTTTTAAACTCAACCCCCTAATTATTAAATCCGCCCCTAAGTAAAGTTGTTGAGTTTATGGAAAGAATATGATATAGTAAGACGGGCATTAATCTACTGTCTTTGAGTTCCCACATTTCTGATGAATCCCCTTTGACATTCTTATTTTATTATTATTATTATTATTAGTTAATAGGGCTATTACTGATGGGCACAATTCTTGTGATGTAATCCGTTGGTTAAGAGATGAAGGGGAAACAGCTAGCGGCGGCCTTCAAAATAGGAAGGGAACAATGAATCAAAGCTTTGGCTGCATCGATTCCTCGTCTAGCGTCGTCCTTTATGTGAACGCTTCAGAATCAAGTTTGGCACACAACACTCTCAAGTCCAACTTTTTCTGGGTTGGATTCCATTTTCCAACTTCACTTGCTTCGTTTCAATGCCCTCAGCCAAAGTATAAAGGAAAGGAAAGTAAAAGGTGCGTAAAGAATCCATAGACAACAAGATTACATGACATTTAGTTGCATGCCTCCGTTCTGTTCTGTTACTGTCTAGCGGTCAAGCGTAGAGTAAAGAGAATCTAAAGGCCCGTTTGATTTTCTTAAAGATATTGTTTTTCATTTTAAAAATAAAAAACATTGTTTGAGCAAGTGTTAAAAAATTAAACCTTTTAAAAACTGTTTCCCTTTTAATTTTTAAAAACAAAAAAATAGAGCTATTCTATTTTCGTTAGACTAATAGTGTCCCGTTAAATATAACACATCACACGATGTTGGTCAAGGAATTAATTTTTGCTTGTGGCTTGTGCATGTTAGTAGAAGTGTTCACCGGACAAGTTCAAAACAGAATTTTTATTCCATGTTCCGTCTCGTCTTAAAAATTGTCTCATCCTGTTAGGAATGATAATATTGTTAGAAAGGTTCCACCATTCCAATAAATTGAATCATGTCAGAGAAAAATTTAAATAATAACATTCATTAAAATTTTAAATCATATAATTTATAAAGTTTAAAATTAAAACAACACAAATATATAAATCACAATAATTTAAAGTTAATTATTGAATTACATTAATCACAACTACACATTATAATAGCAATTACAAGTAATCTCTAAACTATAAGAGCATCAACAACAAACTAGTCAAGCGCAACATCAAATTATTGTTTCTCTACTTTAATTAAGATATGCTAAGCTAATTACTCTTCCAAAAATAAAGCAAAAAATATGATATATTCTCTCCGTTTAAAAATATAAAATATTTTTTGAAGAGTTAGATGTTTAAAAATGTCTTACATTTTTAAATCTTTCAAAATATAATCATTATTTTTTAAAAAAAAATATCCCTATTACTAATCACTTTATATTTATTGTAAATTGCTTAATAGAAATAAATTTAAAAAATATAATTAATTTAAAAACAAATAATTATTTTATTAAGATATGAAATTTAATTAAAAATACCTTGCATTTTTTAACAGAGTAAATAAAACCTATTAAATAAATAAATATAAAAATAAATTATGTTAATATAATTAATATATTATACAAAAAAGACATCACATTGTTTACTCTATATCACTTAAATTATCAATATAAAAAACGTTAATTTTAATTAAAAATTATACATATTAAAATTATAATTAAAATAAATATAAATTATATCAATATAATTAATATATGTAATATATATTTTTAAAATAAAATATATGCAAGACAAGAATGTCTCAATAATAATCCAATAACCTTTTTTCTATCCTGTCTCACAATATCAATATCTCGTCTTGATTGTTTTTAAATCACAACAAGATCCATCCAAACATGATCAAAACGATGCCGAATCAATTGAAATAAGTACAAGCTAAACACCCTTACATGTTAGTTATATTTCAAGAAACAGCATCACAGCATTTTGCCGAATCAATTGAGTCAGGTACAAGCTAAGCACCCTTACATGTTAGTTATATTTCAAGAAACAGCATTCACAGCATTAATTACCCAAAACCAAGCGACACTGACAATCCGGCACTCGTTAAACGCTACTCAATCATAAAGTGTCTAAGACCATTTACTTCCACCACATTCGTGATTTAACTACATCGTCATTTCACTCAATCAAACGCCATGGGCACAGCGAAAATCTAAATAAACAAAACATGGATTAAGAAATTATCTAGAACTGCGGTGACGAAATATAACATGAGAACTTTGTCCCAAATGGAAAACAAAAATTCTTGGCCAAATCCACCAATAGCACGAGATGAGAAATGACATGTGGGATACATCTAGGTATTAGTAGCCCTAGTGTATATCTGCTGACTGGCGTGTGCAGATACCATCCTGATTGCACCTCTCGCCATCAATTCTCTAATTGCCTTCCTTGCAAGTGATCCATTAATCTGCAAAGTGAATGAAAACCGATGTTTCAGAAAGCGCACAGTGGATGCATGATTATATTATACAGTCGTGCCCAAGAGTTGATAACCACCCATAGCAAAAATTTATGAGACACATTGAAGCCAGTGATGATTTGATACAGTGCCTGAGCATGTGGGGCAAAGGGAGCTTTAATTGTAATATAAAAATATATAGCATCAATTTCTCGCAATAGGAATTGTCATTTTTCAGTGTCGGCCAAGCTTAAACGCAATCACAAATGTTAGCCTTGATTTTGATACCATAGCCCCAGTAAATGCTTCCATCACTAAACTGATGAGAAGTAATGCACTGTCAAGGTACTTATTTCAATGCATCGTGAAAACATTTGTGGATATAGAGTCGGATATTGAACGACGATAGAAATGCAACAATGTGGAAACCACAATTGTTGAGTTCACAACCAAAATCAGAAGCGAAGTTAAACCTAATCCAACAAAACCATGTTCATACTGCATGGTGCACATCTGAACGTCACTAGAAGCCCTCACTTCTTCCCATGAACTCAAAAACTTCCTATAAGCATTTTGATATTCACATCTAACACAGACTTTAGCATCTCCTAACTACATAAAGAATACTTCTCAATAAAATCAGGATATTCTTATCAACATCAGTAGCAATTAGCAACTGAAGAGGGACAGCCTAACATTTGTGATTGTAAGAGAGCACAAATATATACGTATATATATATATATATAGATATTTTCCTGGAACTTGTTAGCAGATCACAGACTAAATAGATCAAATTGTCCAGAACTATTCCCCAGTAGATGAATCAGCAGAAGCATCGTTAACAGGAAAGACAGTAAATGAATTTTAGTTTCAAGGTTGCATCAAAACCAATAATGGATTAAATAGCATCCTTTTCCATGCAAACTATCTCACCAATATGAATATGAATAATATGCCACTTCGAAGGATTAGAACAGTAAGAGAATATACCCTCAAACGATCAGAGAGAATTGAAGGAGTGATAAGCTTGTATTTGGGTGCCTCCGAGAGGAGCTTGTCATAAGTGGCCTGGTCAAAGAGCACCATGTTGTTCACTTTCTCCTTTTGCTTTCCCTTGCTCCACTTCTGTAAATCACAAAATTCACTTTACCATCACATACTCGAGCATTTCAAAAAGAAAAAGAAATCAAGGCTCCGATTCGTTAAAAATAACAAATACGAATCGATTCAAACCCAAAAATCACACTCAAAACCCACCATGATGTTTCAATAAAAAAAAAACAGAATAAAGCATCAACAAGAGAACCTGACCTTCTTCTTCTGCTTGCCACCACCAGACTTGGCGGGTTTGGAGGATGGTGGAGGACCCTTATCCTTCTTTGGAGCCTACAAGCGAAACCGACCATGCCATTATAGAAAAAGAGAGAAAACGGACTAAAAAGTGATCAGACACCGATAATTGACAGAGAAATTAGAACCAGGATTTACCATCGAAGCGGTTCGGTCGGGGGATGGAAGCTGTCTTCAAAGGCGGACACGGCAGAACCAGCGAGGATTTATGGAGGCGTCTGCGACATCGGCGAGTTAGGGTTTTTCTTATACTATGGAGATGTCACTGGACTCTTTTGAAGATGGGCTTTCTTGGATATGAGGCCCATTGAAGTTTATTTGGGCTCCATGAAGGGCCCAGTATCGTGAAACTTGAATGATATTCCAGTGGGAATAATATTATTGGACTTACTTGTAATATGGGACTTTTCTTATTAAATGAGACCGTAGACGAGATAGGGCTGCTCCAGATAGCTTGGACATGAGACCCAATTGAGGATTTATCTTACCTACAAGGGGAAGAGATTGTACAAAAAAGGAAAAAAAGTGTAATGAGTTTTGATTACTTTCATCCACGTATATTTCTTTCTTACCTTATCTACGAATTCTTCTTTTTCTAGAAAAAAATTGAGTTTTGATTTTCACTAATCACAAATTAATCACATCCAATAAAAAGGAAAAATTTATTTAAAAAGGCCCAATTTGAAAAAGAATCGGAATCCTAAAGCGAACCACCAGGCAAAATTAGTGAAAGGGTAATTATTAATTGTAACATGTGGCGCACCAAATGAGAGATGATTGTAAGACTTTAGTTTGATAGGCTGAAGTGGACCCTTGAGGCTTCAATCCAGCACGCGTCGAGAGTGCTCCTTGTGGTTTAAGCAATTTTCTGTGGGAATGATTTGAGGTTCAATAATTCAGAAGCGAAGACCATATCCACAAAAAAAAACTCCAAAATATCACAAATGTACAGATTCTGAAGGCTTTTAGTTTGTCCCCTTTTCCTCCATCAATAATTTCAAAACTACTTGCCACGTTGCTTTCGGGTTGCTGGAGAGGCTCTACTAATGCTGTGGGAAAGCCTTGAGGACCATCTCAAATACTTTTTTAAGCGTGGAGGGAATATTATAATTTAAAGAAATAAAGGAGGGAAAAGGCACGAGGAGTACGTGGCATTTTCTTACTAAGTAAGAAATGGATTCCAAATCGGAGAGGCAGGTATTAGTGGTTCCTATCTTCATTGACTGCCATGCCCTCCAATCACAAACCGCCACTTGCCCTTTTTCATTTTTCTCCACTCTCCTTTTTAATTTTTAACTTTCTTTCATCAAACCATGTTGTCCATTAGTCTAGATATGCGTTACTTAATTCCAACATCATTCAACCTTGATAATACATATGCTCAACAATAATTCATTCATAACACAATATAAATCATTATTGAATAATTTATATTTTAAAATAAAAATTAATTAAAATATTAATTTTTAAAAAGATAAACATCTTTTCAACTGTTTTTTTAAATAGATTAAATATAATATTTGACTTATTTAAAATACTATTGTTAATTGCTTGAATGGAATATAACAAAGTAAAAATATAGTTAAAATAAATATATAATATACTCAATATCTTATATTTTAAACCATCTTTTAAAAAATATTTTACATTATAATTCAAAAATAATAGCTAAAAAGATTATGGTACTTTTGAATTATGTGTAATTAATCCTTTGCTTATCATGTTCTATCATGCAAATGACAATTTTATTGATGATAGATGATCATCTACATATTAGATATCTAAATTCAAGAAGATTTAATATATGATTTCACATGTAAAATAATTACATGTTTATGATATAAGCTTGAATAGAGTATACCTAATTTACCTTATAAAGACACACACGCTTATAGGTTAAGAATAAATATAAAACTTGGGAGTGTGGAGATAATGGTTAGGGCATTAGGCAAGGACCACGAGAAAGGACAATTAGCGATAGAGATTATGGTACTTATTTTCCTTACCTCAATTTTATAAAGCCAACTTTAGAACTATTCTATCCTTAGCATACAAAATCATTAAAAAAAAATTAAAAAAATTGGAGCCACCATGACCCTACAGCCTTTTATTTTCTTGGAGGCTGTTTAAAAGTAAAGGACTTGCGACAACTTTCATTTATTTAAAAGAATCTTTAATGCTTGGTTAATTAGTGACGAAGTTAAAAATATTCAGTAATTTTGAATAAATTGATGAATTAAACTAAAAAGATTGTTACCCTTTCAATTTTTTTTTAAAATAAATCCTTTCCTTGAAATTCTACACAGTTGCTAACTGTTTCGACTTTCACTGTCATAACATGATATGGAATTTCATGAAGGAACAAGCTAAAATCTTTATATATTGTAATTACCGTTGAAATGGTATTTCGACACTTTTTTATGTTTTCTTCTTTTAAATTTTTATATTTTTTAAAAAAATGTATATAGCAGCGACAAGTGAGAGCTGTGGAGTATATATTAAGAAAGCGCGATAGGGCCATGATAAAAATTGAACATACAGAAAATTTTAATATATGCTCTTTTCTTCTTATAATATATTTTTATTTTGTCTTCTAAAAGCTCTATTTACTCCAAAAATTAAGACATTGGATATGTTATATATATATATTTTTTAAATGTACCCTTATTTCACACTCCTTCGGTCTCTATTATAGAACCTCTTCTAAGAGAATTTTTTATTTTTAATATAAAGTACTTGATGTAATATTAATTACTTTTTTAATATTATTTTTATTCAAATTCATTAACTATAAGAAAAAATATAACGTAAATTCAAAATTTTTTATTTAAATATAAAAAACTAAAAATTTATTTCATTTAAAAAAATTAATAATGTAACCATATCTTTTTAATTCTTGTGAGGCAATACACATAATCCATGTGATAATAAATTTTAAAATAAGTTTTTAATGTGCACGAAATAATAAATTATAAAATAACAAGTTATTGTAATCGGTGAAATATTCTAAAATAAAGTAAGGTCTTATTTATATTTTTAATATAAGCAAGGCTATATTTTATATTATAGTTTGGAGTAAGTATAAGATAATAATTTGTAAAATAAATAAATAAATTGTTGCTTGCATTTCTTATGTACATAGAAATAATAAATTTGTTTATTAAAATAAATTATAATACATAGAACGCATGCAATAGTAAATTTTAAAATAAGTTTTGGTGAAATATTCTTAAAAAAAGGTATTATTTATATCTCTAATATGAGCAAGGTTAAGAAATTCTTGAATAAATAATTAGTTTTTTCTATATATGAGGTAATAAATTATTAAATAAATTTCATTTATGTTTTAATTTTTTTAATAATAAATTGTTCTATTTATTTTTAAGCTGAATAGGGAAAATTCTAAAATAAGTTAGTACGGGATAATAAAAAAGTGTATAAAAAATAAAAAATTAACATGCTTAGGTAGCGAATTTTGAAATAAATCAAGTTGTTTATATAATAAGGAAGGAACAAATTTTAAAACAAAAAATATATGTTTTATACTTTGTTTGGTTCAAAGGGAGTGAAAGGAAGATAATGGAAATTTTAATGAATTCGATTGTAAATTAAATGGAGAAATGAGATTCAAAGTTTTTAATTGATACAAATTTGGAGAGCAATTCTATTTCTTTATATGAAATTAGTAAAACGAGAGAAGTTCAACTAGAAAAGATATTTGACAAGAATAAGTGGTACGCCAAAGTGACTTCTTACATGACGGTCCATGTGGTAATGGCGTTTCAAGTGGTAATTGTATTTCTAGATGAATGCAAGTAAAAGATCCTATTCAATAGGGTTTTCATTTTATTTTTATTTTCCATGTAATTTCATTATTTAAAAGAGTCTTCCAGGATTTAAGAGATTATTAGAAATATTTAAAAGATAATTTAACTGTTTTGAATTATTTAAATGATTTTCTCTTAATATTTTTTGTATTTGAATTAGAATGTTGTTTAGATGTCAAGTTAAGCTAATTATTTTTATTTTTATTTTCATTTTTTGGTTGGGTGTCAATTAAGTTGGTCTTTTGGGCTCAACCAGGGTTTTATTATGATTTTCAAAGGGTCCAACTTAAAGTAGGATTATTCTGTATTTATTTAAAGGCGCATATTGTAAACTATTTTGGGGGAAAAGAGAACTGAATAAAAATTAATTTCTTTGTAAGTTTATTACTTATGGGATTGTGTTCATGGTTGGATACAAGGGTCATTGATATTCTCTTATGGTGTTATTTTTATATTCTGGGATATAAGGTGAGTTCTTTTAAAGTTTTAAATTATTGATCAATAATTTTTTCTAACTTCAGTGGGTGTGACTTCTGACTGTATTTCTTAGGATTTCTAGACAAGTTCTTAGAGGATCTACATTATTTTTGGTCTTTTTCTCTTACATGTTTTATTAAAATCTTATAACACTATTTATCTATCTTTTTTAAATTGAAGTTATTAAAATATCTTCTCCATTCCTTTTCCATTCACTTTTCCCAAATGAAATAACGTCTCGTGCATCGCATGGGTGTAACATCTAGTCCTTTGTAATTGTTGTCGGATGTACAATGCCATTTGAAGCAATTACTTTTAAAATTAAAGACTGTATTTTTGAATTTAAATTGCACTTTTAAAATGTATGATGTTACAACAATAATAAATAATTTTATCAGTATGGTTAGCTACATTTTTAAAATTATGATATTATATTAACATATCTTATATTTATGTTGTTTTAAATTAATTATGAATTTCTATCGATCACCAAAAAAAAAAAATATCAATTTTTACCTCGACAAATTTTATTTTTAATTTGGGTAGGGATTACAAACTTTGAAATAAAAAATTATTCTTCATATTTTTAACATACACATACCCACAAATTAACTGCTTTTCTTTTTCGAAAAATGAATTCTTTAACATTCCTCTCCCCCCTCCATATATCTTGAATTTGGTAGATTAATCTTCCCCTGCATTTGCACGAGTTAAAAATCTGGTTAGATCGTCAAAATACATTTTAATTAGTCATTTTGATTAAATTATGATTATTTTGTTAATGAGAATTTGTTTGAATATTTAATTTTACTATGGAACCACGTGGCTTGATGTAAGGTTCCCGTATTTATAACAAAGGTAGCGTACTTAAAAGGACAAAATGTTCCAGGCCTAAAGAAAAAGGCCAATGCTCGAGCAAAACTATCTGCCTCCATTTTCTGAGATGGAACCAACTGAAAAACATCAAACTTTTCCGAGGTATAAATTCTGGCTTATCCATATTAATGCTTAAACATGCTTGTAAATTTCTGGAAACATAATGTTAATCAAACTTAGGTAAAGCATATCCTCGAAAGAAGAGAAAATGTTCACTGACATGAAAAGATAAAAATAAAGTAGTAATTGAATATATTATAAAATAAGTGAAAGGAACAGACTCTCTCTCTCTCTCCCTATAAATAAAAGGGAGAGCATCCATTCTGAGAATTCTAATACGGAATAAGAACAAGAGCATCCAACAACTTCCCACTTTGAAAACAGAGGAAATCTGTTTCTTCCATTCTCAGAACAGAGCACATTCTATATTCATATTCACTCTGTCTCACCCAACCTCACTCTATTCCCATGCTTTCAAGTTTTAAGATTGCTGCAGTGTTTTTTGTAGCTGCAGTTTCTCAATTCTTTTCTTCCAACGATATGGTCCTTCCTGCTGAAATCAGCAAATTTGCAGTGCCTTTTGAGTGAGAAAACCTGTTAATTCAATCTCTTCCTCGAAATATTCCCGGATTGTGCTTTGAAATTTGTCACACATGGGTTCACTCAAATCCTACAACCTTAAAGCAGAGAAGGCCAAGGCAATCCATAAACATCGCCAGCGTCAAAAGCTTGCGAGCTTTTTACGGTTTGCTGAAGTGTGTGCTGCACTAGTCTTGATTTCAAAGCTCTCTGTTCAGATTTCTATTGCAGTCAAGAACTCGAGCGTGTATTTTCAAGATGTTTCGGTCTTCGTAGTCGACCATCGCTTTGCCTTTCTGATTGGAAATGTCATAATCATCGCTCTCTTCACCCTCTCGGGTCATTTCTCAGCTCCGAACTCTGAATCAAAAGGTTCAGAACCTGATTTTTACCAGGAGTTCATCCAGAACAGCACGAGGAGCCTCGAGAAACAGAGTATAAAAACGGAGTATGGCATAAAGAGCCCAGAAATTTATGAAGATCGACCCAATAATTTCCCAGAAAATCAGATAATAAACACAGGGAGACTCGAAGGGAATCAGATCAAATACCGAGAAAATCAGAGCCCCAAGAATATCATCGGAACAGAGAACAATAAGAACAAGAAAACAGAGGACACCACTAACAGGAGCATGGAAGTTACAGTTTACAGAAGGTGTCGGAGTGCGAATTTAAGCTGTGCGATGGAGAGTGAGAAATCGAAGCCTGTGCTTCGAAGATCAGAGACAGAGAATAGCAGGAAAAAGGGTTCGTATCCAGAGGATGGTATGAGCAATGAGGAGTTTCGTCGCACTATAGAGGCTTTCATTGCAAGACAACAGAGGCTGCGAATGGAAGAAGAGTCTTCCATGGTTTAAAACCTGAAAGCTCACTTGTTCAAACTGTGAATCGCCACTGTGTATACTGCTTACTGTAATTGGGATGAAGTTGCTTGTGATTTTCTTTCTGGGTTTTTCACTATATAAATATGATATAGATGTAATAGAAATGAACGAGATAATAAAATTAGTTTATGGATCGAATCAGCTGTAAAGATTAAAGTTTAATGCTCTGCCACACAGCTTAGTTTTGGAGTCCACCCTCTCTATATATTTAGTCTAGCTCTTTAAATATAATTTTTTCAACCACTGAAAGTTAAATTTTTAGCTTTACTCAGACGAATCCAATCGCTTTACTTGAACCAATATTAGTACGTAGCTTCTTTAATGGTTAGATTCACACATTTTAACCATTCATCTTGAGTTTTTTTTAATCATTTTTAATTATCTATGTTGATTTTTCAAAATATATGGTCTATTTTATAAGGATAAAAAAGAAAATAATGAATATAAATTATAATCACAATACTGTACTCTCTTTTATTCCGACAACGTCGACGATCTAATTTCCTTCAAAAACATTGTTGATGCTTCAAATTTCGAGTGAGTCTGTGTTAAGCCCCTCCCCCTCTACTCATCCTTAGGAAAGAGTATCACGAGGCTTCTTTCACTGGTTTCACGAATTCATGTGAGAAAGAAGACCATGTATTTAAGAGGAAACAACAAAAATAAAAAAGTTATTATATATAAAAATTCATATTTAATTTTTATACTCAGTTTTCTTTATCTCTATTAAATGTATAATATGCATTCATTTTTTAAAAATAAATAAATAAATAAATACAGATTATTGAAACTGGACTTCCCTTGCATTAATGTTCACGCAAGAGTGTCATGATATATTGACAAGTAACTATAACAAATCTCTACTGTGGATTTTGGAGGGAATTTGTTCATAATACAGAGAGATGCCACTCATTCCTTCTAACATAAGGTGAGTGTGGCCATAATGATTATAAGAAAAGGAAAAAACGAAGAAAAGAAAAGAAGGAAAGCAAGTAGGAAGGAAAGCAATTCCATTAGAGAGGATTCTGGAACGGTGCAAGTCTTGTCCTATCTGGAAAAGCAAATCCATCTTCACCTAAAAAAGCTAAAAACTACATTAGCAGAGAGCCAAGGAAAGAAGCTGCAGATTTGTGTGGGTGAGTAAGTTCTGTGATTGTCTCCCACTAATCACAACTTTCTCTTCTCTTTCTTAACGTTAGAAATTGTGGTAACTAGTCATCACTCTTCGTGCCGTCAAAATCTTACTGAGTATGGTTTATGAGGTCCCTAAGATCATAACATATCTTGAGTCTTTCTCTTTAACATTTAGAAAATCCATGCGATTGTTACTAACTATTTTTATTTATTTTTAATGTAAAAAGACAGAATTTTTTTTATTGGGTTAAAAAGTATATTTGTCTTTTAAATATATAGGTTTAGGAACATTTAAGACTCTAAACACTTTTTTTTTATGTAATATTTCCTTTAATATTTTAAAAACTATACAATATTGCTCTTACCATTAAAAAATATTAACTTTGACCGTTAATTGATAAAAACATTATAAAAAATAACAAGAACATTACGAAAAGGGTTTAAGAAAATCACATAAAATGACCTATAAGAAAATTAATAACTTTTCTATAATTTTTTAATTAATTAACTATCAAACTTAATATTTACTAATGATAAGAGCAATATTATACTGTTTTGAAATGCCGAAGAGAAAATATTATATAAAAAAACAAGTTTAGGAATCAAATGTTCCTATACTAATAGCTTAAGATCAATTTTGCCCTTTAACCATTTTTTATTCCTTGAACCATTTATAACTTCATTACATTCTATTACATGGGGGAAAAAAACTCACACTGAAACAATAATTCTAACACATTTGATGGTTGCTTGTTAGTTTCATGAGCGTGACTCCACCAAACTATGGTTGGTAAGCCAACCTGCCATAAGGGACGGACAAGCATGTGGATCTGTCGTTCTACTTGATTCTTTTTCCTTTATGTTATTTTCACTCATCTTATTTTCTCACCAACCAATCACCCTCTCGAAAGATGAAGTTGCAGCACCAAACTGAGAGACAGTTGGTGGTGAGAGCGCTTTGGTGTGTGTTGTAAGAATCAAAGCTACATGACAATAAAGGACGAACAGATGTTTACCACTGAAAACACAAAAGCGTCAGCATATTTTCACGTGTACTTGTTTATGCTCAAATCTTCAGGTTTGGCCTAATTGGAATCTGAAAGTTTGTGAGCTTTTTGATATTCTGAGCCCTCTTTTGCCTCACATGCCCACAACAGAGAACCAGATTCTCAATGGATAAGTAACCACGCGTGAAAGTGATTTGATATTCTTCTATTAAAAGGCAACGTGTGTGTGTGTAAAAACATTTATTTTGGAGATTAAAACAATTCGAGAGAACTGAAAAAACTTGAGGGTTGGGACTATTATGCAGGTCATGCCAGATTTGTTTGAGAGGAGAAGGAAATTCCACAGAAATAGTCATCTCATACCAATTACTGTGAAGCTTCATCATCTTCTACGCTGGAAAATGACCCAAACATAATTTATTGGCAATTGACCTAGCAAGCCACGACTTTGTGCAACAGAAAGTTTCGGGCCAAAGAAACAAAAGAGTCACTTTCACTCTCCATTTATCATCCCACAGATTCTTGAGAGCAATGACTGCTTTGCCACGCTGCTTCTCTCTTGGGTAGATCTTAAAATATATTTTCAATTCACAATTGTCTTGATAGTCCTGGATGGAGAGTTTGAATGATTGTGCAAATCGTGAAAGATAAATTATGTTGATTTTTTATATTGGTGCTTCTTCAATTTCTGTGTGGCGACATATTTTTCTACAAAGTAGACGGAAGTATCGATTGGCGAATAAACTAACGAAGATTTTGTCATGTGATGCAATCTATGTTCTTAAGTATAAACAAACAAACAAAAAACACACACACTAAATTCAACTCACCTAATTTTTTTAATAAAAAACATATATTTTAAATTTTAAATTTCAGGTAGGATGTAAAATACTTAAAGAAATGAGAATAGTTATATGAAATGAAATGTAATGAATTATAAGAAAATATTAATAAATAAAAACTAAATATAATTTATAATCTATAAGTAGTGTAATTTGATAACTATTACCCCATTTCAAATTATAAAATATTTTAAAAAAAATTACACATACTAATAAAGCTTTTTAAATATATTTTACAACTTTAATTTTTTAAAATAAAAATATAAATCTAAAAAAATAACCTTTATTTAATACTTTATTCATGAATTAATATTAAAGAGAAAATATAATAAAAAGGTTAATATTAAAAAATTATTATTAATAAAATTTTATTTTTAATATAATATTTTATATTTATGGACACTGATTTGTTTTAAAAGTGTTTTATAATTTTAAAGAGGGAGTAATATATTAAGATATTGATTTTATAATGATTTTAATTATTAATAATAATACTTTTTTATAACTTCTGCATTTTTTTTATTGATGCTAATATATAATAATTAGATGTATTTTTCTTAAAAATAAATATTGATACATTAGTGATTAGAGACCAAGGGTCTCTCCATTTATCTTTCATCATTTTTCTTCTACTTCCCCAATCATCATCCTCATCCATATTATTTTATTAAATATTTTTTTAATTATAAAATTAGTGAAGGATGAAAACTGGGAAGTGAAAGTAAAAAATGGAGTGAAACCCCAACCGAAGCCAAGTGCTGTGAAGAAACACTATGGAATCATGGAAGGCCAGAAGGGTGGTCGTCGTCGTCGGCGTGGTGGACACTCAGTCAGCAAGTCAACGCAGAAAATGTCTAACAAAGCGACAACGGCGACGGCGAAAAACTGAGCCCCTGATCTTCAATTTCTTTATCTTCGCGCTCGAACAACATCTTCCGTTGATAAAGAAAGCCAGCATCTTCCGCATTCAACAGTTCCTTCCAAGATCCTCGAATTCCAGTCTACCATGAGTTTCAAGACCCTTCATTTTCCTCCCATCCAAACCATAGTCTCCACTGCCGCCTCCATCGCCGCTTCCGCCATGATCATTCGTTCACTTGCTCGAGAGTATCTACCTGGTGACCTTCAGTACTATATCAACTCCAAATTGCGAAAACTATTTGCCACACTCTCCTCTGAATTCGTACTTATCGTCGACGAATTCGAGGGTCTTGGCAATAACTATCTCTTTCAGGCCTTGGAGGTCTATCTCAGGCCCCAAATCCATCCCAACACGAGAAGTTTTAGGGTTACCATGCCCAAGAAGGAGAACAAGATTTCCGTTGTAATGGAGAGGAACCATGAAATCATCGAGAAGTTCAACGGGGTTGAGCTCAGATGGAAATTGGTTTCCAAAAAAATCCCATCCAAGTACATTCAAGCCCCGGGATCGGAGTATTACCCCTCGACTGTAAAATCAGAGGTTCAGTACTATGAACTGCGTTTCAATATGAAGTACAAGGACACGGTTTTATCTGAGTACTTGCCATATGTTATGGAGCAAGCCAAGGAGCTGAAGGAAGAGCAAAAAACACTGAAGCTTTTCACTCTGAAGAGGGAAAGGGTTCGCTATAGTGGAAGGCGTCCGGAAATGTGGCAATCAGTGAATCTTGATCATCCCGCAACGTTTAATACGTTGGCTATGGATTTGGAGGCGAAGCAGGGGATCATGGAGGATCTCGACAGGTTCGTGCAGAGGAAAGATTTCTACAGGAAAGTTGGGAAGGCATGGAAAAGGGGGTATTTGCTATTTGGTCCTCCAGGAACAGGGAAATCCAGTTTGATTGGTGCAATGGCCAATTATCTCAATTTTGATATATATGACTTGGAGCTCACTGATATTAGGCGTAATTCTGAGCTGAGGAAGTTGCTGATTTCCACTGGGAATCGGTCCATACTTGTAGTGGAAGACATTGATTGCTCCCTTGATCTGCAAGATAGGCTTAAAAAAGCCAAAATGTCCAAAGCTCCACTTCACCCATTTGACTATAAGGAACCAAAGGTATTTTGCTCTTTTAAGGATCATCAGGAAGTTGCTGTTTTCTTCTAGTTGTTAAGTAGACTCAATCTGTAGGGATATATACAGACCAAATGAACCATAAAATAGTATGTAGATGTTAGAAGCGGCCCGACAAGTCTGCTTTTTTCTGCAAATGGAGTTTATTATCGAATGACATGTTCCTGATATGTAACATGGTGATTACATTGACAGGTGACGTTATCAGCAGTGCTGAACTTCATAGACGGGTTGTGGTCAAGTTGTGGGGACGAGAGGATCATAGTGCTCACAACAAATCACAAAGACAGACTAGACCCTGCTCTGTTGAGACCTGGACGCATGGATGTGCACATCCACATGTCATATTGCACCCCAAGTGGATTCAGAATGCTGGCTTCTAATTACCTTGGGATCATAGAACACCCTCTTTTTGTTCAAGTTGAGAGTCTGATGAAGACCACCAATGTCACTCCTGCAGAGGTGGGCGAGCAGTTGCTCAAGAACGAGGACCCTGATCTTGCCTTGACATGCCTCGTGGATCTTCTCACACACAAGGCTGGGCATAGCCTCGTGGATCTTGCTTAACAAGATGAACATGTTGTGTAGTTTTTGAATGCTAGTCTTACCTGGTATATATGCGATATTTTACGTTTTGAGATATAAGTTCAAAATGTATAGTATCAGATTTCACAATTGAAGGGCCAAAGCAGGGTATCTGAAGGTGTGAATACCAAGCTTTTGGTGATTGAACGAGTTTATGAATAAGGACTAAACTAACTAGAAATTCTTAGTCAGTGTTGAACCATACCATATATATGCTTACACTTTTTGTTACAAATTCTCTGAAAAGGAAAGAATATGATAATTATAAAACTGACAACGGTGCTTGCCAGTTACCACAACTCCATCATCTAGGCCAGAAAAAGGCAACTGATCATATGTTTTCTATATCGTCTTATTATACAACCGTTGGGGGCAAAAGATAATCCTAGTGTTCAGTCAGAAAATTTATAAAAAACCAATGCGCATCCTAGAGTGGCAGATATGTGCTAGTCCCCTACACAGCCATCTTCATCCTGTCTTCTGTTGAGGATTGTAACCTACAAGTTTAAAATCAGAAGCCACAAACGAATCTATATCCTTCTTTGACTTTATCTTCAAAATCAGTCAACAATGAGAAGAAAGATAAATTACAGAAGCGCATGTAGATCAAAATTTGTAGCTGACTACTTTATGAACCAAATGCAATCCCAGGACGTTAATCTGCATACTGGAAAAGGTCTTGGTTGGTTCTGAAGCTGCTCTTTTAAGGGCCTCACGTGATTGCAGTAAACGCGTGTCCCCAAGATATGAAATGCCAAGTTCTTCTGATCTTTGTTTCTCTTTTGGCTGTACTTCTCTACAGCAATATCCATGAAAAGTAATATGAAATTTATGTGCGAAAAATTATTTAAGAAATGTTCACTATATTTCATATGATAGCATAAGACCGCCGAGAGAACACCTGTCACACTCCCTTGGATGCAGATGCATTGAATCAAATTTTTCATTACCTGCATATAAAATTAAAGTCTTTAAAGTACTAAATAAATTAACCAAGTGAGCCAAAATTGAAGGGTCAAGACATCAGTTTGGCTAACAAACAACACAAAATCAGTGTTGAGCTTAAGTCCAAGACATAAACCACGTAGACTGGTCGCATCCCTCATGGACCCTCACAAAATATTAAACTTGAAAATAGCATCGCTTGACAATAAGCTTGTAGTCATTACGACGAGATAGATAGCTGACAACACATACTGACCCCACAAAGTCTCTGTTTAATTGCAGATATCTGACCGCATGTTAGGAATCATAAGAAAGGGTAGAGGCTTGCATAACTTTTATATAAAGTGAATTTTTGGAATAAATATTAAAAGGCACATCAAGGTCCAAGCAATAAATATTTTATATGCAAATAGAAAAATTAGTTTTAAATTTAACACACATTAAAATAGTATTAGTTACTTAATTTTTGGCTAAAGTTGAGGGTTGTTCAAGTAGTCCTAACTCTCAATCTCAATTGGCCTGTCTTTGCCTCGGTCTTGTTAGGAATAGGCCCAACCTATCTTGAAAAATTATAGGATAGGAACAGAACTAAAATTGAATTTGAAGGGGATGAGAAACAGCTTAAATTTAATTAAGAGCACTGAATTCAATCATATTTCCTTTTAAAATGGGGCACGTGATAGGGTTATTTGGATCCAATCCGGTTCCACAAACATCCTAGTTGAAGCCTGAGTTGATTAGGGGATCACATTTTCCAATGGTGCAATTTTCATAATTTAATGCTGAAAATTGTCATTTTTTATATATGCTATTATTTTACTAAACAGTAAGTTTAACTAGGATAATTAAAAAAAAAAAAACCAAACGGGTGACAGACAGTATAGGAAAGAGTTCGTTAGTTAGTTAGGTGTCGTGCTGAAGAATGTGAGCGGAGCTGCTTGTATCTCGCTAACGCTTAACACTTTCTGTTACCCCGTGGCAAAACCGAATCTTAAAATTGGTTAAAATAGGTGATCTCTGATAGAATTCGTCATTTTAGCAGTATCAATAAACAGAATTAGCATTTCAGAATCACTAAATCGAGCAGTGCCATTCGAGGGTGTCCGTTTTGATCCTCTTTTCATGGTCCTGTTGAGTTGAGAGATTTTGAGATCATAAATTTTTGCGTTCCTATTTTGATTTCACAATCTCCTCCGATATCCCTGTCAAAAAGGTCTATCTATCGTCTCTTACCATTCATTCTCTTGACTAAATTCTGATCCATTTAAACTTCACGAGCTCAGAAAAGAACCTTTTTAGTGATTTCTATCATGATAATCCAGTTTTCTTTATTTATGTGTTATTTCTGCATTTTCTTTTTCAATGCATGCTAAATGAAGGCTGGCTTCTTCCGTTGTTGACAGATTTGGTTTAAGCTTTTCTGACCTTTTCTTTTCGTGGATTAAGGTGAAGCCTCAGTTCTGGGCATATAGTTATATTCGAGGAGTCGATTCTACTTGGAGCAAGCATACCGTATTCGTTAATCATGTGTGACACTACGCCTATGCCTATACCTACTGATCGATCCCTTAAAACACGTAAGTGCATGATTTTTGTCGGCGTCTATTTGCAGAGTATTTCTTTCATGTTGTGCTTGTGCTCTTGGAATACTTGTCTACTCTATAAGGTTTAATGATTAAGGGTCAACCATTACGCTAAAATGTGAAATTGCATGCCGAGTGTTTTGCAACATTTCTTATCTATGATGCTGAGAAAAGTGAAACGAAAAGGAACGAAGATGATTGACGTGTTGTATGTGATATGAATCCAGATGTGCTGTTTAAATAGCATGGAAATGATATTAGCCTAAGAATGTCGACAGAAACAACAGAAGCATGATGAACTATACCTTCAAAATGTGAATTTCTTTCTTTCATTCAAACTTGGGAGAGTAAATTTTCTTTTTCTTTTCTACAATCACAGTTATTGAACTGGACAAAGCTGAAGATGAAAGGAGGAAAAAGCTTGCAGCTATAAAGAAGGCGGCATTAAATGCCTCATCCAAGTTCAGGCATTCCCTGACAAAGAAAGGTCGGAGGAACAGCAGAGTTATGTCTATTGGTTTTGAGATAGAACTTAACACAGAAGAGTTGAAGGCAGTTGATGCTTTTCGCCAAGCTCTTATCTTGGACGATCTTTTTATTGCCAAACACGATGATCAATATATGATGCTCAGGTAGCCTGAGTAACATTTTCTTCATCAGCGGCTTCATTTCATGGATTAATTAATTCACCGTGTGATGATCCAGATTCTTGAGAGCTAGGAAGTTTGATATTGACAAAACAAAGCAAATGTGGGCAGATATGCTTCAGTGGAGAAGGGAATTTGGTGCCGACACTATAATGGAGGTATTCCCTTGAAAGACAGAAAGATTGTTCATCATATTTGTCTTATGTTCTTCAGTTCACACATGACACTAATGGTTTATTTGTCTAACCTTAATTTCTTTGTTTTGATTAGGATTTTGAATTTCCAGAAATAGACGAAGTTTTAAAATACTACCCACAAGGACATCATGGAGTTGATAAGGATGGTCGACCTGTCTACATTGAAAAATTGGGTCAGGTTGATCCTAACAAGCTTATGCAAGTGACAACCATGGATCGTTACGTTAAGTACCATGTGAGAGAGTTTGAGAGGACCTTCGCTATTAAGTTCCCCGCATGTTCAATCGCTGCTATGAAGCACATTGACCAGAGCACAACTATTTTGGATGTGCAAGGAGTGGTGTGTATGAAAGTCCACATCTCTGTTTAGTTCTTTAGCCTTTTCCAAAAGGAATATCCTTAAAATTAAGAAGAACATAATTATCTATTCCTATAATGTTATCGGGTTTTACTTTTAATCGATATAATTTTTTCAATGTTTTTCACTCCCTATAGTTTTAACAAGATTAGGTGACATTTGTTTATCAAATCCCTATAAGAACTGAAGCAAAATTCAATAAAATTATAGGGATCAATAATTGTGCTTTTGTTTAAAATTATATTCCCCATAAAACTAAAGAGGAATTGTCCATTTCCAATAAAACATGTTAAAAAAAAAAGTTTCGTATAAATGCTAACCAGCATGGTTCTTCAGGGACTTAAAAATTTCAACAAAGCTGCAAGGGACCTCATCCAGAGGCTTCAGAAGATTGATGGTGACAACTATCCTGAGGTACTAATTTACAACAAACATTTTGATTGCCTCCCTGGCTAAAATAGAAGGTTTTAACTTTTAAGTACCTAGTCCACCAATGATAGACAGATTAAGCCAATCGTACATGGAAGGACGCCTTATATGATTACATAACTTTTAATGATTGACTTAACCTGTCTATTTTTGGTAGACTGGTGCCACTTGGGAATTTCGCCTTGCGAGAATGGGATCCTACTGATTTTCCCTAATTGAACTTTCCTATTTACAGACACTGAACCGAATGTTCATCATCAATGCTGGTTCTGGATTTAGGCTCTTGTGGAACACAATCAAATCATTCCTTGATCCCAAGACAACAGCAAAAATCCATGTAAGCATGTTGAATATTCATTTTGAAAAAAATGTCGATTTCTGCAAAGTAGGGAGGTATTCAACAGATCAAGGGTTTACTGAACAGGTTCTAGGTAACAAATACCAAAGCAAGCTGCTTGAGATCATCGATGCCAGGTAATTTTTGCTCCTTGTTCATAGAAATATTCATTCTCAACTCGGTTGATATTTAGCCCATCTAAATCATGCAATACCATTGTTTAGAACCAAATAACCTAATGGTATATTTGGATTAATGTGAATTTGGATTTGAACCAAATCACTCATTTGGATACACAAAATTATGAATTTAGATTTGATTCAAATTCAAATCCATTTCAAATCATAATTACTTTATAATTTCAAATTTTCTTTACATCCTAGTCTTTTAAAATTTTAATAATTTTAAATATTTTGTTCTTTTCATATTTTCACTATTGATACCTCTATGACTCTGATATTTTTATCATCTTTCGTTGATTAAAAAATAAAAATAAATTCATCATTTTTAATTTTTATCTTTCATTTTGAATCTTAGTTCATTTCCCTTCTTTATTTGAAATTTCTTAAATAAATTTCTTAAACTACTCAAACAAAAGATTTTAAATGCATGAATTTTAAATATAAGATTTTAAATTTAAAATCTAAATTCAAATCAATCAATCCAAATGCCACTTAAAAGTTTCTACCAACCTCGTTAATTATGGCTAACTTTACAGCATTACCCCTTCAACTTAAATAAAAACTTTTCCGTATTTTATTTGCCAGTGAACTTCCGGAGTTCTTGGGTGGTACTTGTGCTTGTGCAGATAAAGGTGGTTGCATGCTTTCTGACAAAGGACCATGGAACAATCCAGATATCTTGAGGGTAATTTACTTTTGTAAACTTAATATCATTAGCGAAAGGGAAAATTGAAGTGGTTTCTTTTGATGAATTAGTTGGTTCAAAATCAAGAGAGAAAATGCAGAAGGAGACCCTTAGCAGGAATTCATGAGAAAGCAATCTGTGGAGATGACGAACCATATCTAACGGTAGTCTTTCTCTTCCAGCTTTGTTCTGAAACTGTGTCTCTAAATATCTGTATTTTCTAGAAAATGTGTTAGTTATTTTTTTGTTGTCTGCAATATCAAGGGATGCAATTCTTTTGACAAAAGATTGGTAGAACTTCCATTGCCAGAAGTTGAGAAAGCCAGACACTCCCCAGCTCCAGAAGGAGTAAGTTTCTTAGACTTCATTCTTTTTCAGTTGCTACGTAGTACATCTTGCAAGAAATAGTTCAAGGACATGCATATATTAGCAATTCAGCTTGATGCAACTGATTAATTATCCGGTAATGGGAGTTCATCGTGTCTGTAAACTTGAGGGGCTATAATTGATGATAGAACAAGAGCAGTTGGATGGTAATGGCAATATGAGCAGTATGAATGCAGTTTATAACTCTACCTTCTTATCATCCATGCCCTAAAAAATGAGAACAAGCTTCAATCCTTGATGCAATGTGAGACAAAATTATGACCTGAAATTAATCGCTCCTTTGCTTATACTCAGTTAACTTTTTCTATTGTTTTTTCGCCAATAAATTGCAGGTCATGAAGCAATATAGTGTCCATCAGCATGATGTCCCGGGGGTTGACAAGCCAATGAATTCAGCTTGGATAAAAGCTGCACAAAATGATAAATTAGCCATCTCTAAAGGTATTTAATACAAATTTATAATTAATTAGAGTGTGTTCTGTACATTTGCAGAGCACTTTAGATGAGCTATATGTTCACAACTTGTGAACAATGTAACTCTCTACACTTACTGTATTCTATATTAATCTATAATTAATGTAACTAGTCAAAATTATATTTGCTTTCAAAAAAAATCTTTAGTAGACCCCATATGCAAAAGCTAGCTAGGCATATGAGCCTATCAGAATTGGATCTCACTGCATATCTCATAGGTATTGGTTTGATTTACACATCTTCCACACATAACATGGATTTATACTCTGAACTCTTTCAACAGCTGCTGATGGTTTCACTGACGATGCTTACAAGACTTCTGTAGTGTTTACTAATCCTTTCATGAGTGGGATCATGGCCCTATTGATGGGAATTTTAACAATGATCCGAATCACAAGGCACGTTCCGAGAAAACTCACTGAAGCCGCCTTCTGTGTCTGCTCAGAACATTGTGAGATCACAACAATGAAAGCACCAGGCATTATTTCCTTTAATGATCACATGGCCTTGATCAAACGCGTAGCTGAACTAGAAGAGAAGGTGAGTCTTCTTAACATAAAACCTTCCATGCCAAAAGAGAAAGAAGAACTTCTGAACGCCACTCTGGGCAGAGTCAGAAGTCTTGAGCAAGAGTTGGCTGCATCTAAAAAGGTATTACTGCTCACTAGTTTGTTTCCCTTCATACTTGAACGTCATCCTTATTTGAGGACAAAAATGTGATAAAAGCATATTCCTTTCGTTTTGGACACTTTAGGCTCTTGATGAGGCCTTTGTTAGACATGAGGAGCTGCAAGCGTCCATTGAGAAAAAGAAGAAGAAGAAAAAGTTTGTAAGTCATCTTAACTCTGATGCTGCTTCAGGATTCTTTCGCAGTTTGCCAAAGTTTTTCAACAGTTTATAATTCAATAAAAAAAACTGAAATATCAAATATATAAAAGAAACCTTGTGAAGTCTTCTCCTCAAACAAAATTTACATGCAGAGTATGTGTTTCTTGAAAAAAAATTTTAAAACATACCTGGGAACATTGATGGGTCCATACTCTGAAATGAAGAGATTGAGGATGCAACCCACGATGACCAAAATATGTTTAAGAACGAAGTTGCAAGAGCTAATGTCCAAATACCATATTCCCGAGTTATAAAAGTGATCAACTATAGAAATGCCGCTGATTTGCTTTTGTAAGAACGATAGCTTGATAATTGGCCTATGAGTTGGTGTTTCTTCAAAAATACATAAATTAATATGGTTTATTCAATTGATAATAATCTACAAGTAAAAATAATTTTCTAACATGAATTCGACACATCACAGTTATATTAATAAAAATCCGATGATAAGTAACTCAAAAAGAATCTTGTAAAAAGTTGTTTCACTAACACAAGCATTTTGGGTTTGTGGTCGCAGTTCCGCTGGTGAAGTTAAAACAGTGTGTTGGTACAGAAAGTGTCAAGCTCGGAGTATGCGTCAAATTTGAATTGCGAAGTTGGAGGCGTTGTTTTTTTTTTTTTTTTTTTTGTGGTCTTCAGCCCCATCCATTTCCCTTTTTTCCTCGGCCGAAGCCCCTTTCAATGACCTTCGATTCAGATCTTTAGTTTTCTTTTAAGTTTTCATTACTTGATTAAAACTCATAAAAATGAAAATGTCTGTACATAATTTGTGGATAAAATGTACATATTGAAAATATATCAACATAAATATAGTTTAAGAACACGAAAAAAATGAATATGGCTTGTAAATGCAAGATGAAAATAAATATTGACCAAACATTAAGCGCATGCTATCCTTCCCAGTGTTCAGACTTCTGAAGTAATCATTGAATTCCATTATTTTATTAGACGCTGAAATAGAGCACCACTTACTAGTAAAACATGACAAATCCATAGCAAAGTTGGCCAATGAGACAGCACTCCTATTGTACGTCCTTCACGAAGATCAGGATGGAGAGAGGACGGGGCGAGAAAGAGAAGGAAGGAGAAAAATACAAAGTTGTCAAAACAACTATCTTCACACAATGAAAGAAAATTCATTGATGAATCTAAATCCCTATCTTGGTGGGAGGAAAAAAAAAACAAGAAATCCATGTAAGTTAAGGATTTGCATCTTACACATTCAATAAACATATCAATTTATAAAAATAAAAAAAATCCCACATACATTTTTATCATGTTATGCCACGCCTTTACATGCACAATGTATTGCTAGAGAATCTCTTAATCTTTATGTCATGAACCAATTTTAGCATTAGTGCTGATATCGAGTAGTCGGGAAAACGAGCTTTTTTCCAACAAGTAGAAGCCACACAAGAAGATAATGCACGAAGGTGCTCAGGGCAAACAAGAAAGCTCGCATACAAGCTGAAAAAAGGAGCCATCGAGGGGCTATACAAACATTTGAAGGAAATTCTTCATTAGTTTGATCAAAATACAGTAAAACTGTCCAGAGTATATATCATGTGCAAGGTCAACATTCATTAGCATAGAAAACACTGCCTGCCTTGAGACGTAGCATCCTTTTCCTCCGTCAGCAACAAAAATCACCAGCAAAACTTCTTTTTCTGATTAAAAGGTAGCAAAATGAAACGCGAATGTAAGCATCTTAAAATGTCCCTTCAACTGCGTATCAGAAAGAAAGATATGCCAACTTACCCGTAACTTGGCTTCTTCCTGACGATCAATGTAAGCAAGCAGCTCCTCTTGCCTCATTAACGCTTCATAGAGAGCCTGTGTAGAAAAGATTCAAACAAAACAGAAAACTAACTTGATCAACGATAAGACTTCAATTATTCTTCACCCCAAAGCGTGAAACTTCAGCTAAAACATGAAAACAGGACATGCACCCATAAGGAGCAAAAGTAAACTTCATCTAAGCAAACTCTAAATGACAGGCGAAGGCTAGGATAAGGATGCCAGGGTACTTCTTTACAAATTTAAAGATTAAAGATTATAGAAAGAATACGAGGGAAAAGAAGAAATGGAAACAACTTGGTGTTCCAGCCGAGATGCAACTATAAATTGCATTGTCAACTGCCCTTTTCCACAAAAAATTGTTGACACCCTACCTTTTTCGTGGCGATTAACTCAGCTTCCAAAGCATCTACACGGCAAACAGCAGCATTCAGCAATTCCTCTTTCTCAGAAGGCATCTCGGATGGCTTTGATTGGAGAGTTTCAACCTTCTCTTCAAGCTCGCTCAACCTTTTTAGCATAGAGGGGAGAAGATCAGCCTCTGTACATACTGCAGTTGGTGAAGGAGGTCGACAGTCATCATTGTTTGAGATATCAATAGTTGTTTCTGAAGAGCTCTGGTCATCTTTAGTTGATACCACGGGAAGTATCTTGGTCATGTGGCGTGCAACTGAGCAGAAGAGGGTATATATAGCCAAGTAGAAGACAGTCAGGGCTACCCAAATCCGAGCTCGAATCCCTTCTGGAGTTTTCTTAGTGTCAGGAAGGGGAGGTGCACCTGTATTCAAGGACTCATTAAATTTCCCAAAAAAATAACATCAAATAATTGAAATCAAGAATGTAACACTATCTCAATTAAAAGAGGTATAAAATAAAAAGTTATTGTGCAAAAAATTACCAAATACATTACAGCCTTCACAAAAAAATTTCAGATCTTCAATTTAGCCATATCTAAGGCGTTCCAAAATGACATTGATCAATCCAAAATCAGCCAGATATCATGCATTCATAGACATCAAGCTCTAAACAGTGGTAGGAGATAACGAGTGGTGATCATAGGAAGGCTGTGGATAGCACGATATTATAGCACCCATTCCCAAGAAGATTCATAAAAGGTATACATGAACTATGATTACCAGGCTAAAACTGCTAACCTTTTGAAGTATATGATCTCTGGAGAGATGCTTGATTCTTCCAGCTAGCATCAACAGCTTTGTCCACCATTGGAACATATTCATCATACCCAGGTAGGTTACCAGCATAATTTGTCTTCCCAACCGCCTTAGCCTGGGGAAGAACAACAAAGGAGAATGACTCTCATAATTGTTATAGGAATGGCCAGCATAGCAAATCCTACAGCTATGTGTTCACAGAAGTCATGCTTTGAACATATCCATATTTTTAAATTTGTCACTAGTTACAGTAGTTTAAAACGTATACCAGTATAAACCATATCTCCCTCAATAAAGGGCAGAGGGTTTTTTTATTTTTTATTTTTTTGGTTTCATGTTTTCTTTATCCAAAAGAGAAACATCTAGGCTTGTCACAATGTCAACACTTACTTCCTCACGAACAGGAGTCAACCTAAGGTGTGAGTAACTCTTCATTGCTTTTGGTGATGCTAATTCTTCAGCTTCGGAACCTGATTCACAAGTGGATGTATCACTGCCTTTTACCTGCTAAGAATTTGCATGAGTATTATTTTTTATTAAAAAAAAAAACTGGTGAGAAGAATGAATTTTGCCTCTATTGGCCAAAGCAATAATGTCCATGTAAAGAATTACCATAGGGTATCGTGGCTTGACATATGCAATAACCTTCCCTTCACTATTAAGAACTTTCACCACCTGCCTTGCACGCCTTGCTTCACCACTAAGAACCATCTGCAACAACTCATATGCAGTAGGCTGTTAGCCTATAACCAAGAGGTTAACAATTGTTGAGCCTAAGGCAAGTAAAGCCAGCTCATAACCTTCAATATTGCATGGTTTTTCCAGGGCCCTTTATCAGATCTAAGACAACCTCCCTGATCCGCACAAGTGCAGGCACCACCAAGGAATTCTGGCAATTCACTTCATGAAGAACATAAAATTATTTGGTATTTAACAGGATAGTATAATGATGCTAGAAACAAACAATGCATTAGTCAATTGGGAAAAGAAAAGGTATGTATACAAACACGTGAATTATAACATGCATGGAGATAGAAAAACATGAAATTTATAAAACCAATCCTTACCTGTCATCAATTACTTCAAGCAATTTGCTCTGGTACTTGTTCCCAAGAACCTAGGAATATTTTCAAAGAAGCATTAAGTAAAAAGAAAGCAATATCAGCAGACTTAAAAAAGTAAACAAAGATTTTAAACAACTAGAAGACAGCATTTTCAAATACATGAATCTTTGAAGTCGTCTTGGGATCTAGAAAAGTCTTGACAGTGTTCCACACCAGCCTAAATCCAGGGCCAGCATTTATAATAAACATTTGGCAGAGAGTCTGTTTCAAAAAATTAAAAAGGGCAAATCATAGTATATGTTAATCGTTCAAGTATCAAATGAAGAATCAGCCACAATACATAGGAACAGGATCGGTACCTCAGGGTAATTGTCACCATCAATCTTCTGTAATCGTGTGATGAGTTCCCGAGCAGATTTTGTAAAATTTTTAAGGCCCTGATAATTTTCACCATGATAAATAGGTTTGTGGAAAATAAAATTTCATAGGCAGCTAAAATAAAACAGTTGAAAGCTGAAGGCCAGCAACATACCACGCCTTGAACATCTAAGATTGTGGTACTTGAATCAATGTGCTTCTTGGCTGCAATAGTGCAAGCTGGAAACTTTATTGCAAAAGCTTTCTCAAACTCCTGAACATGGTACTTTATATATCTGTCCATGGTTGTAACTTGCATGAGTCTGTTTGGATCAACTTTTCCAAGTCTTTCAAAGTAAACAGGTCTTCCCTCCTTATCAACACCATGATGACCATGAGGGTAATACTTCACGACTTCATTTAACTCTTTGAACACAAAATCCTGACGAAAACGTTAAAAATGAAGTCAGATCTAGGTTTTTTCAATGCATTATAAATCTGAAGAAGTCCAATCATGATTCAAATTTTATCTTCGTCTACCTCCATAATAGTGTCAGCACCAAATTCCTCCCTCCATTGTAGCATATCAGCCCACATATGCCTCGCTTTCTCGATATCAAATTTCCTTGCTTTCAGAAATCTATAAAACATAAAGAAAAATCAAATATAAGCCCCTTTGTTGAACTAAGATCATTGAAGTAATTTAACACCATCCTAAAGCAAGCACCTTAACATCATATGGTAATCATCATGTCTTTCTGGAAGCAATTCATGCATGATCAGTGATTGCCGAAACGCATCAACAGCCTGCAGCTCCTCAACATCCCGAACATCCTCAATGGACACAGAGCTGACACGGCCATCACTTTTTCTCCTGCTACTCTTTTTCTTGAGAGAATGCCTAAATTTGGTAGATGCATTAATTGCTTTCTTCTTAAGAGATCCAATTCTCGTCCTCCTTTCATCCTCAGAGTTCTCAAAATCCGATCTCCTTTCTCTTTTCTCATCACTACCGGAGAACCCTTCAAAACCTAGCAACATAAAAACACAATTATTTACATAATTAACATTTCAAGAGGGAATGCTTTGGGAAATTGTATGAGAAAATACATATGTAAAACGATGGACAATCTCCGAACACAAAAAAAATCCCAAATCCGATATTTTACAAAATCCAAATCACTTAAAGCCTATCCCATCCAATTGTCAATAACAGGAACCCTAATGAACGGAACAATCACTGTCTTCAGGTTTAGAAATTTTGATAGCTAACAACCAAGAAATTTCGCCAAATCACTCTGTGGAACCGGCAAATAATGATTTCTATCTGCCTAAAATGAAACCCGCCATTAAAGGCAGTGTGTTTTTGCTCAATTTCGCTTATATAAGTTTCCGCTACCCTTTGCATGCTAGCAGACTACAAAGCAAGCCCTGGACCCAGAAAATTGAGAAGCGTTCCCAACTTCGCTTAACACACAAAAGGAAAGGAAAAGGTACTCACATGGTCTGGCAAAACGATCCAAAGGGCCGGACATTGTACAGATAACAAGTCTTTACATCAAGCAGGACCTCGAAAGAACGTCGCCTCAAGTCTGATCCCCAGAAATCGCGAATCGGACACGAAATCGAAGACCAACAGAGAGCACTGCGATGCGAAAGAGAAAATTCCGAATGTACCTGATCTACGATGAAGAATGAGCCCCAAAACAAAGCGAGACTACGCAATCTCAAGCTGTACCGCAACAATTGGCCGAGCGATAGACTTCAACAAAATGAATTAATTTTATAATTGAAAAAATAATGGCCAGCAAGGTCAGCAAGACAGCTAGAGACAGAGAATGAAAGCAGAGGAATGGCGTTTAGTGTTTGGTGCACATGGAGACCGGAACCGGAGGAGGAAGGGTGTGGGTCCCGGCACGGTGAGTAGGACACGTGGCAAACGGGGAGACAGTAAGAGGGAGGAGAAGGAGGAGAATGAAGAGAGGAAATCGCCGGCGTTAGGGTTTTTAAAGGGGAGAATGAAGATGGAAGGAGCCAAAAGAATGTTTTGGGAGACACAAAAGGTCAAATGATTGGGTCACCCGCGGTGAGCTATCACCTCAGTGCTTCCCTGACTGACGCACCTCTTTTGAAAACTTCAATATAACGCCTGAATTCTTGTTTTTGTTTTCGTTTTTTTTTTTTTTCCTTAGTTCTGAATTTTTTTATAAGATTCAGTCTATTTTTTGTTCGTGGCTTTAAGATTTTTTGACGCAAATATTCCTTTCACGTTTTGGGTTCGTTATTCTCCCCCGATAGTATGCCTTGGGTATCAATATTGTTATTTATTATTGAACTAATCTATCATTAGTTCGTTTAATACCACCTTTTGTTTCAAAAAAATTAAAATTATGAAAATTTGGGACCCAATATTAAATCATATTATGTGCCCATTTGTTTAAAATTAAAAATAAGTGATTTTTAGATAATTTAGATATGTTATAAAAATATTTAATTTATAGAGATTTTATAAAAAATAGATAATTATTTATGTTTAATTATAATAACAAAAAAAGTGATTATTAATTAATTATTTTTAAATTTTATAATATCTTCTTTTAATTTTTATTTTATAAAAATGATTTATTATTTATTTATTTTAAAATTTTATTATATTTTTACGTACCCTACCTTTTTAAAATATTCTTTCTCAACTATTGCATCAAATTATTTCTAAAAGCTACTCAAAATACTTTCTTAAAATAATGAAAAATTTTGGTTTTTTTTTTCAAATTCTGAATATTTTTTAAGAAATTAAACAAACATCATAAAAACTTAAAAAATACATTATTTTAAAATGACTTTTTCATAAAATAAGCTGAAACAAATGGGTATTATAAGAGATTAAGTTAAATAATACTCTTTCTAATTCATAATATAAGCAACCAAGTATATGTAAAAAAAAATTATTTTACCTCTTGTATTTATTAATTCAAATTTTTATATAAATATATCACTCATTAATTGTAAAGTGTATTGATAATTGGACTAAAAAAAATAGAGATTTTAAATAGTTTAGAAAATTTACTAATAAATATTTATTTTATAAAAATCTGACATTATTTTATGTTTTTACTGTAATAAAAAATAATTATTAGGTAATTATTTTTAAATTTTACTATATCATTCCTAAATTCTATTTTATAAAATAATTTATTATTATATTATTTTAAATGTTATGATAATTTTATTTATCTTGTCTCTTTACAACATTCTATTTCATCTTATATTATTTTTAAAAATATTTAAATTAATTTTTTAAAATAATTAAAAAACTGTTTTTAAGATTCTGATTATTTTTAAAAATTTAAATAGATATCATATAAACTTATAAAATAGATTTTTTTAAAAAAATAAGTAATTTTTTTTAAAATAATTTAAAATAAATGAATCCATAATTTTATAAAAATGAAAATTTATGGGTATGTAAATTTTCCTAAAAACTTTTTATAATTTAGATCTGTGAGAAAAAAAATAAGAAACGGAAATGAAATGGAAATAGAATAATATGTGGCGTCAATTAGTGTTTTGGGGGAAGAGAGTGGGGCAGGATTGAACCATGGTCCATGGACGGGAAAAGGGACGGGGAAGGACTGAAGGATGTCGTACGACAGGTTGTTTTGTCGTCTTCGGACTGCGCTCCTTGTCCTTGACCTTCTTTTGCGGACGCATTCTCTTGATTTCTTCCTCTAATTATCATTCTAATTTTATTAAACTTCCTCCACTTTTAAATATAATTTTTATCTTCTTTTAATATAAATTTTGACTGATACAAAATTCTAGGTATAATTAATTCTCCAGCTTTAAAAAAAGTATAATTAATTCTTATTTTTAAAATATATCTTATAAGTATAATTAATATTTATTTTTAGGTAGTTGGTGTTTAAAATAGAGTTGAGGAACATCCTAAATTTTAAATTATTATGTGAATAATATCATGAACCCTAAACTTATGAAATGTGTAAAAATCACTCTTAACTTCTAAATTTCAAACGCCTGAAACTTTCCCAAGTTGAAAAAAAGGGTCATTACTTCTATAATTATGAGACCCAATCGCATGTTAATATGACACTTATTTTGATTTTTAAAAATAATAATTATTTTCTCCAACTTAACGATAGGTTTCAAGTGCATAGAATTTAGAAGCTAATGAAAGCTTTTGCATATTTCAAAAATTTAATATCTAGGATATTATTAGCGTAATAGTTTAGAGTCTAAAATACTCATTAATCCTTTAAAATATTTTATAATTAATATTTATTTATTGAAAGGAAAATTACCCAAAAACCGAGCCTAACTAGAGCCATTGCCCTCAAATCTTCAAAAATAATCAGATCACGTATGAAAGCATGTTCTTCGGAACACGCATGTCTTCTCCAAGCAATGAGTTATCTTAGCAAGTATATCAGCACTTTGGTTCGAGGAATCACACGTAATGATGGCAAGGATTTCGAATGTAATATAATGATATTACTATGGGTTTTTTTGGTATAACATTGAGGATGTCAAAATTAAATGATTTTTTATACTTATTTTAATAATTTTAAAAGTGAAAATATTATAATGCTTCCCTTAAAAAAAAATTCCTGCCCCTTCATTTGATTCTCTCTTCCCTCACCATAATTAACTCCAAAATCTAGAATCAAATTCAAATATATAAAAGTCACTGCAAAATCCAAAAATTTATAAATCTTAAATTTTGTGGAGGCAAAGTGTAAAATTTTGGAGTTCAACATCCTAAATTGTATGGGAGCAAAGTGTAAAATTCTCCTACACTAACATACAATTTTTTTCAAGTAAATGAAGGCATTTGCCCACTCTTGCATGTATTTAGGTTCACTGTAGATTCCAACTAGGTTTGCAAGTGAACAAAATATTGATAGTCACAAGCTTGAGAAAGGGTAGAGTTGTAGTGGTTGACATGAGAGGATTGCAACAAAGCAAGTCACACGTCAAAATTGTTTGCCAATGGCAAACAATGGGGCTATGATAAAGTGAGAGGCTCATTGAAATAATTTGTCAATGGTGGGTTATAGCGTTGTGAAGGAGTGAGAAACTTGTTGACATCATTTGTCAATGGTGAACGATAGTGATAAAGGGCATTGATGCTTTATTAATAGATATTTTTTAACTTTGGGTACATTTGTCATGGCTAACTCCATAAAAATCAATCCACTATGAGTTGTGGTATAAAGACCACCCACCACAGCTAATGACCTACTTTATTGAGACCAACTTCAAGCAACACATTTGCCGCGATTAAAAACATGTCCACTAGAGTGGAAACCTCATAACAACACAAAATTATCCAAAAAACATAATTTCCAAATCACCTATTTAATTGCTCAAACCTTTAATTAAGGTGACACACAGTTAATTTACCAAACTATTTAATAGTTTTAGTCTCATCTCAAGTCCGTAATAAATAAGGATCCTAGTACACTTATGGTCAAAACAAACCTTTCCTCCTAAAGGCATGTCAACCAAATGTCTCCCCTTACAATGCCATCTATTACTTAAAATAAGTATGCATAAAACTCTTGCATGCATAAAACGTATCAACAATGCCATAACATGATGTTACCAAGAATGAAACCTAGTAATTATATCCACACACATTTGCATCCTTAGCACTTTCTCATAAATACAAGGCCAAGTAACCAAAAATACCTAAGTTAACAAATAGGGCTAACATGCAAATGGCAAAATAATTCCAACATGCAATCGTGTTCTTAGTGTTAACAAGCAGAAATATAATTCATTATATACAAAAAGCTACTAAAGGAATTTACAAGCTACATTGTAGTGTTTGGACTTGGAGGCTTCCCCTTTACTCTTCATTTTATCATCTCTTGGAAAACATTAATAAACAAGAGTGAAATTAAACAATCTCAACAATTAAGCAATTTAATTAAAGCATATTAAAGTGTGGTGTTCACAAGTAAGTAGATAATAAAACATAAGGCAATCTATGCATTAATCACAATACAACAGATGACTTCAGTATTCATGATTAATGCAATTGTCTTATACCACTCCTTACATTATCTATTCGAATCTATAGGCTAATATCTCATATAAGTCTAACTCATATGATTAGACTAACATTGTTCTTTGGTTGTGAGGGGTTACCCAATCAAAAGCTTACACAGTTACTCTCAAATTGTGAATTTTCCTTACTTGAATTTTAAGATGTCATGAGTGTTCAACCTATACTGTTCTTTTGAAGAATCAATGATATTAAATATTGTACTTGATCCATGCCACACATGTAAGTTATTAGCAATACTAAATATATTTAATAATTAACTATGCCAACTACTGTGCGCAAATTTAGCAGAGGTCACACCATATGAATTTACCAACATAACCTCCATTACTCTAAGGTGAACTCACATCTATCATGACCATGCAAGTCGATTCAACATATGCAGGACAATCTCACATATATATATATCAATAGTTCAATGTACACATGATTTTAAGAACTAGCGTGATTAATTCAACTCATGCCACAATATTATTTGCAACAACTCACATCATGTTCAAATAATCATTACAAAACAAATATCGGTTCAACCATTCATGTTCCAATATCAAATAGCATATATATACACACACACTCCCCGAACACTTCATCATAGTGAAGCATGCTTCATATTCAAAATCATAAGTCAAAATTAATAGATTCATCTACAAGCTCATTTTGCTTATTTCAAACTATCCATAATAATGCATGAAGCACAATTGCAAATAAAATGATATACTATAATTAAATTCTTAATTATCTTGACTCTTGGATTTACCACCCCAAAAGCATAACTTTCAATTTTCACAAGAGCTTCCTATCAACATGAGCTGTAAAGCACTATGCTCAGCATACAATGGACATAAAACAGCATTAATAACTAATCATCATTAATTAACCATTCATCATGATTAAAGCCTAATACTTTCATTGTGCATGATTAAGCATCG